GGTTTCCCATTTTCAAAGTTAGAATACATGAAAATATAATTAACACTAAAACTGAGTATAATTTAATTTTTGTGATTCAAGACATTTGTGACTTTTCAGTGCCTGAGGATCATAATGAATAGCAGGTTTAGAAGACTAAGCCGCATTTGTTTTCATATAACAAAACCCAGCAGTAGTTTTTTTGAATAAATCTCTCATATTAGCTTTTTAACTTGTCATTTGTGGCTTTATCATAAAAGATGAAAGAAGAATACATAAAATTCTACTTTAAGCTTGCTGGTTGTTTATATCCTAGATAAATGGATGTTTACCTTAATAATGGCCTTTAATATACAAAGTTAATGTTACAATCACTATTATCAGGCCTCCTTTTCTGAGAGTGGTGGTGAGTTTGTGGTAATCCAATTATTTCTTCCATTCTTCCTATATAAGGCACCTTTTACTTATTTGATTAGGGTCATTGAACCCCTGAGTGTGGATATATGGGCAGGCATTCCAGTCAACACAGCCAACTAGTTGTAGCCAGTCATCTTTCAACAGAGTTCAGCAAACAGATTTCACTTCATTATATATTACCTGGAAAGGCCCAGTGACTAATTTTTGATCTTTGAAAATTAAAATCTCAACGTACGATCAGTTGATTGTCCTACAGGAATCTAACAAAACATTTACCTTTTTGGTTAAGATGATGGGTACTCCAATACACTGCTTTTCAAGCTGGGGTGAAGGCTCAGGTTTCTTCCCCCCTTCATTTTAAATCCATTGTAGACTAATAATTTTGTAAAATACAACAACAATGAAATGAAAACAAAAAAGTTACACAAAATACAAGGCCTAATTTATTATTACTATTATATTCAACAGTGATAGAATTACTGTCAAATTGCTATAACTGCTTCTAACCATTTACTCTCAATTTCTGTACTGTCCAGACCAGCATCAGTTTGCACCTGATGACTAGATTTTGAGTAGCATTGCTCTAACATACTGCCTCTGTTACAGAACTTCAGACCTGACCATTCTGAAAGGGAAACAGAAAGCTACTTGTATTAGAGAGTTTAGATAGTCTCCTGTCTGAAGGAAGTAAAACCAGGTAATCTCTTGAAGGTCCTTCCAGTTTGCTGATTTCTGATCTGGGTCATTTGGGTCCATGCCTGCTCATGGCTTCTTCCACCTGCAATGGAAGGAAGCAGGGTCTCTGGGCTCATCTTGGGCCACTGCATATTGAGCTCTTTATTCTACCATGGTCCTCCTGAGCTGCCAGTTTTTGATGTTTAGAAACAACTTCTTTTTCTCTAACATTTAGCATGAGTGGAATGGAGGAGGAACAAATGCTTAAACAAATCAGATGAGGTCTTATGAAAGGTGTCCTAACAGGCTCTTTGCCCTGCCAAGAAGACTTTGATTTTCTTTTTCTTTCTTTCTTTCTTTTTTTATTGCCGTAACATTGGATTATAACATTATATAGCTTTCAGATGTACATCATAATGTATTTCGAATTCTGTGTAGATTACATGATGTTCACCACCCAAAAACTAATTATAGTCCATCACCACACATGTGTGCCTAATTGCCCCTTTTGCCCTCCCCCTTCCCCCTTCGGTAACCACCAATCCAATCTCCGTTGCGATGTGTTTGTCGTTGTTTTTATCTTTTACTTATGAGTGAGATCATGTGGTATTTGACTTTCTCCCTGTGACATATTTCACTTAGCATAATACCCTCAAGGTCCATCCATGTTGTCACAAATGGCTGGATTTCATCATTTCTTATGGCTGAGTAGTATTCCATTATGTATGTATACCACATCTTCATTATCCATTCGTCCCTTGATGGGCACCTAGGTTGCTTACAAGTCTTGGCTATTGTGAATAATACTGCAATGAACATAGGGGTGCATCATTTATCTTTATGCATTTGTGTTTTCAAGTTCTTTGGATAAATACCCAGCAGTGGAATAGCTGGATCATATGGTAGATTTATTCTTAATTTTCTGAGGATACTCCATACTGCTTTCCATAGTGGCTGCACCAGTTTGCACTCCCACCAGCAGTTTGAGGGTTCCATTCTCTCCACATCCTCTCCAACATTTGTTGTTTCCCATCTTGTTAATATAGCCATTCTGACCGGAGTGAGGTGATATCTCATTGTAGTTTTGATGATTTTCTATGATATCTGCCTGGATGTTTAATCTCCAAACATCATCTTCAATTATCCTTGGAATGTAGTTTTGGCCCATGACTCAGCTGAATATTGACCACACAACTCTTAACTACTTGAAGAGTTTCATTATACATGTTTCACTGTACACATATTGATAGACTCTTGCTTAATCATCCTTGTCACAATATCTTGACAAATACTTCTCCTCAGCTTAATATAAGATGTTTTGCATGTGCCATCAAACAGGCTTACTTCATCAGAGCTTGAATTTTAGTTTGTTGCAAGGCAGTAGTAGGTAAGTTAATGTTGCTAAGAAAACTATAGGAAATTTTCTACCTATTTTTCTTTTGCTCCATCTGTTCATTTGTATCTTGAGTAATTTCGTGATTTTGGTTTCTACTTGGAACTTGTCATCTTTAAAAAAAACTGCTATAAAGCAGTTTGGCTAATTTGCCTAATAAAATATATTTCACATGGAAAGAAACATCATGATTAATGGATAATATCTATTATAAAAGAGATTTTACTTTTCTTCCTAAGAAGTCTAAGAACATTATGTAATTTGTTTAAGCTTAAATGAATCCATGTCTAAAGGTTCCAGATAATCTTGGCAATCTGTATAGGTTTTAGCTGCAGCCACGTTTTCTTTTCCTCTGTGTAGACACCCAGGCTAAATTCCACTGTGTAGCTAAACATCAGATGACTAGATCGGGGGTACAGTAGATATAAAGAACTTTCAAAATTGTGCTGGTGAGAACATGAACCATCACACACAGACCAGAATAAAACAAATAGCACCTCTGCTTTAATCAACCTCCCAAGTGGAGCATTTCCCAAAATACAGCCCCCTGCCTTCTATTCCTCTCACATACACTCCTATGGGTTCATGATTCATTTCTCAAGTTCAGTTCCACAATTCAAATATTTCTATTTTGCATTTCTCTCTTTGCCTCAAATTCAAAAGACCTAAAATAAAACCAATCTCAAAATCTTCAAGTTGGATGAGATCCCAGGGGACATCCATTTTGACTTTAATGGCTACGTGAACAGCTTTTATAAAGCTTCCAAGAAGGGGTTCTCTAATCTCTCCTTTAACAGCCCCAGCTCTGGGGAACTCCCCTCTGCTCAGGGCAGCCATTTTTGGTACCTTGCTTCCAAAAGCAATTCTCTGTCTAGGTTTTCCCAGCCAGGAAATGATATCATCCTCTTTCCAGTTCCCAAGCCCCCGTAAGTCAGCACCATCTGATTACTCCCCAAACTCTTCATTTCTAATCAAGTATAGGATGGGTCAGCCCTAACATTTTTAATCAGCTCCCTCTCGTGGCCCCATAATTCCTAGCACATAATAGGTAATCAATAGTTATTGCTGATTAATTATTTTAAATCTATCAAGAACTCAACCTTAGCAAACAAAGATTTCTTACTTTGAATCTTGTGCTTCATGCGAGGTTTTTGACCAAACAGCCAGATGAGAATTATATCACGTTAATCATAAATTAGAAATCTACAGTTCATTAGTAGATGAAGTGATAATTATATAGTTTCTACATCATTCAAAGATTCCTGTGGAGAGAAGAGTGCTGTATGCAATGGGAAATGACATTTCAGAGAAATTTTGGTAAAATCACTCCAGTTCACAGGAGAGGGCTCATTCTTTTAAATTTCTCATATTTTTCTTATCTTCTGTTGTGCGGAACCAGTATAGCTTTCCTAAAACAAATAAATAGACTATCTTTTTTGATGTACCAGTAATGCTAACATCTTAAAGTTTCATTAAAGATGCAAAAGTTGAACCTTTGGCAGCCAGTATTGATTTATTTTCCAATAATTTCAGTAGGATGGATAGAAATAGGATTACTGTATTTTACAGGTCATTTCTTTATATACCTGAAAATAGAACTATGCCTAAAGATCAGTTATGTGTAGTTCATTAAGGCCCAGATTCCTTTCTGATCCAAGACATAGCATTAGAGGAAAATAACTTAGAGATGAGAAAATCACCAGTTATTAGAGCGAGTTTCCAAAAGCTCTGTTGCTGCAGTGAAACCTGCTAGAAACAGGATGACTCATGCTGTTGTTTAGAAGCTGGACTACAGAAACCCATTGGAGTAGGCTAATTCCCCTCACTTCTCACACTCCAGTTATACACTCATTAAATTCAAGGAATGCAGCATTAAGTTATTTGAGGACTGCTACTTCCCAGGGGATTCAGTGAGGTAGAAACTAACATAAAGGACAAGGAAGATTACTCTCTCCTACTTAAAATCTTTAAAAACAATGAACTTCCAAACCAATTGAAAACAGGTACTCAAACACATACATGTACATGCATGTTTATAGCAGCACTGTTCACAATAGCCAAAAGGTGGAAAGAGCCCAAGTGGCCATCAATAGATAAATGGATAAACAAATTGTGGTATATACAATGGAATATTATTCAGCCACAAAAGGAAAAAAGTACTGATACATGCTATAAGGTAAATGAACCTTGAAAATGTTATGCTAAGTGAAAGAAGCCAGACACAAAATGTCAAATATCATATGATTCCATTTATAGGAAATATCCAGAATAGATAAATCCTTAGAGACAGAATGCAGATTGGTGGTTGCCAGGGACTGAGAGGAGGAGGGAACAGGGAGAAAGTGCTTAATGGGTAAGGAGTTTTACTTTGGAATGATGGAAATGTTCTGGAACTAGATAGAAATGGTGGTTGTACAACATTGTAAATGTACTAAATTGTTCATTTTAAAATAATTATAAAAAATAAAAACAATGAACTCAAGTCTTAAGCTAGTTCCTTGCCTCTAGAATCCTCTCCATTGTACTTTACACTTACCTTGCACACCATGGACGTCTTTGCTCCAAGCCTAGCAGCTTGGACACACTGGTTGGCACCTTTCCCTCCAAAGCCGATAAAAAACTTATGTCCGTGGATGGTTTCTCCAGTTTTTGGCAAACGAGAAGTAAGACTATCATAATTTAAAAAGAGAAGGGGAAAAAAAGCACATTGGTAACTGCGAACAATTTAAGTTCTTCAGAAGAGACAGGGAAGGTTATCTGATGGAGCTCTAGTCTTAGCAATCAGAAGCAGGGAAGATGACCTTTTCCTTTAAGACCACGGTTGCATCACTATCGAGAATGCATCTGCTTGACAGAACTCCTCTCTCCCTCACTGCCCCACAGCTGCACTATTGTAGCTCTACTTCAGATGACAGTTCTTAGTGTCTGCACTGCATCAGGGTTGTCCATGGGTGCCTCTGTTTTCCATCTCGGGAAACTCTTGGAGGGAAGTAACTTCATATTCCCCCTTCCCAATGCCCAGCACAGAGCTTCATTCACAGCGAGACTTAATAAATGGGACCAAGTTAATGTGTGTTTCTGTATGGGTTTATGTGGTCACTTTAATAAGAAGCAGGAAGTGTACCATGATTCTGGTAATCATGTTCAGGATCTAAAAAGAAGAGGGAAGTTGCAATTCCAGGCACTAAAGAATCTCATGTTTCCTTGAGGGTGGGGTGGAAGTGGTATTTAGATAGCAGGATCAGGTTTCGGTCCTAGTGCACTCTGTATACCACCCATTTCATGTACTGAATCAAAAAGAGCATCTATTTTAAAAAATGGATTCTAAAGAGCTAAAATTTTTAAAGAGTAAAAGTTTCAAAATTTTACTACAGACAATTCAAACATACAAAACTAGAGAAAATATTGACTTCCTCTACGCCCATGCACCCATCATCCAGATTCAACTATTGTCAACTCATAGCCAATCTTGTTTCAGTCTATACTTTCATCGACTTCTCCAAGAGCTAAGGATTTTTACTGGTATGTTACTGCCTAATGAGGATAGTATTAAATGAGGCAAAAAGTAAAAGGTTTATTCCAGGGTATGATTCTCATAACATTAAAAGTAGAAGATGTGAGGAAACAAAACCTTTGAAGGAGAGAAAACTTTAAAATGGAAAAGGAGTTCTAGGTAGAGGGGCAAGTGAAGAAGATGGGCTCAACCAGCATGAGGACTGGTTGGCCACAAAGAAGTGGGCCAAGAGCTGGAGGGAACAGATGGAGAGATGGCAGGTATGACCAGAAAGGTTAATTAGCTTTAGACAGGAAAAAAAGGCCAAGAAAGCAGTTGACAATAGTAAGTCAACTGAGACTCTACTCTGTTTCAGCGGATTAGAAATTTATATTCATTTCCCACAAAGGCTGTGATCTACCTGAAACCAGTATCTTTTTATATTAGAGTAACAGAAAAATGCCAATTCCGACAGGTTACTAACAGCCTGTTTGCAATGGGATGACATATGACTGACGTCAAAAACATGATTGTGGAGGGCTGGCCCTGTGGCCGAGGGATTAAAGTTCTGCGTGCTCTGCTTCAGCGGCCTGGGGTTCACAGGTTCGGATCCTGGTGTGGACCTGCTCCACTCATCAGCCATACTGTGGAGGCATCTCAGATACATAGTAGAGGAAGACTGGCACAGATGTTAGCTCAGGACTAATCTTCCTCAGCAAAAAAAAAAGAGGAGGACTGGCAACTGATGTTAGCTCACGGCAAATCTTCCTCACAAAAAAAATCCTCCCAAAAAACAAAAAAATATGATTGTTTCAATAAAGACCAAGTTTGACCTGTGAACTTCCTTTATTTAGTTCTAAAAGACTCAATAAACTTGGCTAAACTACTCTATTCCCTAGCAATGCACTGTCAAATATGGTTAGTTGAAATTCAAGAGACTCATCAATAATTTGAAAACATCCCACTCCACTCCTCCCCTTTTCAATTCTATTTTTATCTCGGATTCCAAATGCATTTATAGTACTGATGAAAAAAATATACATCTACAAGGTTCACTTATGAAAAAGGTACTCAATCAAGAGAAAAATGGTTTTAATGTAATGTTATTATCCTGTCATTTAATTTAGCAATGACAAGTGATGATGAGATTTTGATTTGCATCAGAAATCTTAAACATTTTAGGATTCTGTTATGAACAGGCAATGATGAGTAATCTGTGTGATTGAGTAACTATGTGAATTCTTGGCTTATTGATGCTGCTACAAACAACATTCATAACAACCTCAAAAAGAAAAAAATATCCAATGTGGCTAAAAACAGGCCAAATAATTAGTAAGACTGTCACTAAAGAAACTTATGACTTCCACTATATTAATACTTGGATGTGGGTCACAATTCACTGGTTTGAATCAAGTGTATTTTTATTATCAACTGTGGGAAATCATGAAAAATACACCATCAGATGATCACCGGGGGGCATGTGTGTGTGGGGGTGAAATCAGAGGCACAGTGTGTGTGTGTCTGATGTGGGAGCAGATGGCTGGGATTTAAACTCATTTCTAAATAACTTATATTAACGCAAGCACTGTGCTTATTTAGCCTTCACCGAAATTCCTCACTCCTTTGGAATTCTACTCTATTCTTTTCCTTCTGCATCTTTTCCCTGCCCTTATCTCTGTCTTCCCTCAATTGTAGACTTGCCCTGCATAAGCACAGGGACCAAGTGTATTATTCTCCATTTTATCCATAGTGCCTGTCACTTCGCATGGGGTTAACAGTTTGCTGACTGAGGGAGTCTTTGTAAGAGTCTCCACTTGTCTCTGAAGGGTAGCAGAATATGCCACCCCAAAATATCCTGCTTTGATATATTGATGATTTTGAACTGTAGGAACTTGAAAACCAGCAAATGCAGGGAGAGGCTTTTTCTGAACTCCACTTATCTGCCTAAAGATAAGTTCTCCTAGAGGAACTCAGGGGTCATAAATCCCCTCGCCAGGAGTCTCATCAACCAGAGGACTGACTCTTGTCACAGGAGAGGAAAGCAGAAGTTAATACCACACACAGACAAACTTCGTCACAAACTATCATACCTCCCATCTATTCTTCTAAGGGCCCATCCATCTTTCCTAAAAATCATTTAATCCTCTCTAACAGGCCTACCTTCCTCTCTCCCCTCCCTATTAAAATGATATTTAATCCTGAATTCTAAGTTCCCTGGGTATCTCCCTGTATGCCTGAGAGATACAGGTTAATAAATTTGTGTTTGTTTTTCTTTTGTTAATCTGTCTTTTATTACAGGGGTCTCAGCCAAGAACTCAGAAGGGGAGAGGGGAAATTATTTTTCCTCCCCTGCATCTCTTTTCCATGTATCTCCTGTATAGCCTCTATTCTTACTTCTAAACTGAGGATGAGGGGGTGTTGATGAATGAGAAGGAGGAGACCGGCAGGGATGACTGTTAATTGTCTGGCAACAATTCCATGTTTTATCAGACCTTGCCCACTGTATTCCCAATATTAACAGCATTCCTCTTTTATAAGAACTGTAACCAGAACTCATAGTATCATTCCTTCATTCACGCATTAATTCAACAAATGTTAAATCAGTGTTTTCCAATTTACCTCCTACAAGGCAAAATAAACTTGCTGACAATACAATAAAATCTAACCCTGATGCGAGTGATACATGAGAGGAAAAACATGCCACAGAACAAGGAGATTAGTATGATCCAATTTATGTTTTTTAAAAGGAAAAAGACCTATGTATATAGTCTCATGATATGTAAATGCATAAAAAATGAAAAGTTAATGACAAGTATCCATGAGAATGGTGGGAGTGGGGAGCAAAAGTTCACGTTTTACTTTATATACTTATGTATGGAGATATATGCAACAGGAACATATTTACGTATTATGGGAAGCCACTTGTTGCTATTTTAGATTCATCAGGACTCCCTGCATCTTTCCCAGTCACCAGTTCTTCCTGGGCTCCAGCTGGCTTCTTGCAGGTGCACCCTAACAGAGCCTTGCCCAATGCCATTTCCTCCCATTCCAGAGTTTCTGTTTCTTTATGATTCTTCAGGCTGTTCTGTAGGACTGAGCAACGAGCTGCCAGTAGGGGTGGCCAACTTGAGCACATCAAGCATCTTTGTATGGGCTCTTCTTGTTTCCCTTTCCCTGTCCTTTGCTCTTCTTCCCTGGATTACAGTCCTGAATAGAGTATGTGCACTTAAGGCTTTGCTTATGCTCTGCTTTCTGTTGAACGCAGACTAAGACAGTTTATTGCTTATTTGTTTTCTTGAAAATTAAACGAACTGGAGAGTGGAAAGTGGAGTGGAGAGCAACTGGAAAGTTAGTTACAAATAGGCAGAAGCATTTCTGAATCATAAATCCTAATTTACTTTGAATTAGGCTTTCCTATTTTTTTCTTATTAAAATCATGAAATTAAGGTCAGTTTCAAGAAAGGACCTGCATGAAGCACCATCCCCTGGATGAAAGCACTGCTATGATTCTCTCCAATCAAACATGAAATTTAGCAGGGTGCCAAAGACAGACAAATTAGAGGGCTCCAAGAAAAAAAGACACAGTACTGGTAGAAATACACTGTTGCTACCATTTAAAAATTTAGAATAGTGTAAATTTCTGAATGAGGGAAAACTCAGAGAAAACCAGTTATAGGAAATATGTTTGAATTTAAAACAAATTCGTAGCTTTAAAAATGTCACGACATTTTAAAGCTGGACAAAAACACCCATAAACGTTCATGGCCCCAGTCTTCGAGGCCACCAGATGTAAGTTACAGCCCGCTTGTGTGAGGCAGGAGGCCTGAGCTACTTAGTGATCGCATTACCTTTGACAGCTTTTCCCTCTTTGAACTAGCTTCTTCTCTTGCAAAACAGGTCTAATAATACTTGTCAACTCCTTAAATGCCTGGGTTTTGTGCTCTGAGTTATTTCACTGACAGGTGTTATCAGAACAATTTATCAATTGCTTTTAACTTCTTGACAATGATGTGCTCGTTACAGATTCTCAGAGATGATTCATACCAAAGGAAGGAATGACCTGGTGAAACAGGGACGTTAAGTCTTTTGACCAAAGAGGTCACGCTAATACTGACTCCAGCCAAAAGTCAAGGAATATGTTATTTTGGCTTTTGCATTCCATACTTTCTTCTTCTG